TCGATAATTTTAACTTCCGCCGCCGCCGTGCCGCGCTGACCACACTGTGTTTGGCGCAATGCGTGAAGTATTCATGTAGTCTTGTAGGCACTGTGCGTTTCACGCCGCGCCGACCGCGCTTGACCGTACTGTGTTTGTCGCAATGCGTGTAGTATTCATGCAGTCTCGTAGGCGCTAATATGTGTTACATGCCAACCGCCGCGTTGAGGGCTTTTCCTTTTCATCTCAAGTCCTCGTCATCATTTCTCTTTGCGCCGCGCCACCCCAAGCCAAATTACATGTTTGGTTTTTCTCTTAACTCAACTAATTAAAGGTGCGCAGTCTTTTGTATCACCGAAATACGACAAAATTAGAAATTAATGAACTCTCAGGAAATGAAAGATTTTGTCACCTTGTCTTGTTTGTAATTTTTTTCTGAATCCGATTTTTTTGTACCTGCATTTAAAAAAATCGTAAAATTTGCCGCCCCCTAATTTTGCCGCCATGGGCCGCGGCCCATGTGGCCACCCCCTTAATTCGGCCCTGCCTAGGCAAGTGGTTTATCAGAGGTCCCCGTCTCTCATCCTTCTTTGGAACCAAACTTCGAGTTGTGACAATTCAACCGGGAGAAATCAAATGGTTAGCCTCTTGGTGGGCCATTGTACACAGTTAAGAATGTCGGTGTATGATGTCACTCTGCGCTACTTCGTGTTAATTTTTTGTGTTGGGTCAGCCTTAAAGATTTGGTTGCTGAACACAATTTTGTGTTGAATCGACCCAAACCGTAGGCAGCTCTGAGACGTCGAAGTGAAGGAAGTGTCCTGCCCGCCTGCCGAACTTCTGCACTGTTGTCTTCCTCCCTATAGTTAGAGGTTAGAGGTCTCGACCAGAGGTGTGGCGTGCTTTGCGATACATCGATTGATCTGTCATTTAAACCTATGGAAAAGTATCGATAAACAGGGTGTTCGCAACAAACATCTTAATAATCGATTCTTTACCATAGCTTCAAATGGGGATATATCGATAATCGATCATTCCCGCCTCGCCACTGGTCTCGACTTGCGAGTGGCTAGCGCATTCGATTACGGGTAAGATGTCAAATTGATATTGCTGTGTCGTCGAAAATAGGGGTTGAACCTAAGCTAAAATTTTATGTATAATAGGTTCAGGGTGTCTACAAGTCCTGAAATAGCACTGATTTTTTAAGGGCGGTCCGGAAGCCCTGAAAAAGTGCGGAAATTCCGCAAGAAAGTCCGGAATTTCTTTAAATTCTTTGTCATTTTTGTCACAATTTCAAATTTTTTAAATTTTCTTAATTTCGTCAAATGGAGGTACTGAAAAAGTGCGGAATTTTTCGGTCGGAGGAGGTACTGAATTTCTTGAGAATTTCTTTTCTGAAAAAGTACTGTAAAAGTACTTATTTTTGACCAGCCTGTTTTAGTAGACACCCAGAGGTTTCTTCATGGCGCGTAGTTTTATTTTAACCACATCCCAACTGACGCCAGATTCCCCGATATAACAGGAGCAACTTTTTGGGCAGTAGGCTCTTTTGGAACGCTGAGTTAGTGCGTCTTTTAACCCTCAAACGGACTTTAACTCCCATTTTCACATGAATTCGGAGTCAATTGATTGGTCGAAATCGAGGCCCGGCATAATTTCCACTCACCCGAAACGTGGACTCCATCTCACGTTTATTTTTTTCGAGTATACCCGTTGGTATTCGCAGATTTCCTCAGTTCTGCGGCTGGTTGCTTGTGGTCACGATTTCTTGGGGTTTGTCGAAGTTTCGAGGTCGTCATTCGAAGATTTTCGCGGTATCGAGGTCACTCGGGGTTACTCCCGGTAAACGGAACAGGACGAAACGGGCGGACGGTCCGCACTCCGCACTGCCGTGCTGAGGAAAAGCGCCGTATGAACATTCGATAGTTGCCAAAATTACTCCGAATAAAACAAGTATTTTCGAGGAAAGTCGTGCTTATTTTTCCTTGAAATTTTCACATATTTTAGATTTAATTGCTGGCAATAGAGTCTAAAAATTTTTTAAGAAAAATGTTAACAATTTCCCCGGTAAATTCGTCATTAATTTAAGGAGATATATGGCAACGTCTGGGGGCTCATACGGCGTACTTCAACCAACACTCGCGTGCTGCCGTGTTAGGAAGAAACGTCGTATGAGCCTTCAGACGTTGCCAAATTTCTTTTGACAAAACACGAATTTCCTGGTTAACATAAGAATATTTTGCTTCCAATTTTTAGATAATTTTGTTCGCAATTTCACCTAGAGCTCCTGACAATTTTCAGGGAAAACATTTGTAGCTTGCCTCAAAAATAGAGATTTTATCGACGGAAATTTGGCAACTCTCGAATGTTCTTACGGCGTTCTTCCTTAGCACGGCAGTGTGGATGCGTGATTGCGGTTATTTATTACCGATTTGTAATCGTATTGCGGTCTACGAACTAATGCTTGAGTGTATCTGATCTTACAGTCTCTCCGTCACACTATTTAATTTAAAAACTGGAGCCATTACTTTAAGACCCGCCTCCAAAAATTTGGATCGAAGCTTATAATTCTCGTTTTTTTTTCTTAAATTTTTAAGTGACGGCAGCAAGGTTGCCGGAAATTTGGAAAATCTGGGAATTTCCAATGACCGGAAAAACTCAGTACTATCACTAAAACATATTACTGATCATCCAACAGTGAATCTTCTCGAGTGATCATTTTCGTCATTCTTGAGGCTCGTCTTCTTTTAACCACCTATGAATGGCTTTTTTCATAAATTGATCTCCAAGCAAGGAGAGCTTGTCTAAAGATTAGCGAAAGTCAGCGCATCTATAAAAAGAGTAGAAATTTTGTTTGAAGGTCAGAGAAAGTCAGGAAATGAGAAAATTTTGGCGTCAGAAAAAAGCAAAACCAGTCAGGGAAAAAATCAGGGAAAGTCTGGGAATTTGAAGATGAAGATATTATGTAAACCTAGGAAGATTTTCCAAATGCATCGAAATCCAAGCATCGAGTATGCAGTTTGAGTGAATTTCGTCATGAAAAATTATCAAATACTAAGGTCCTCTTTCTCTTACCGCCTTTTTCTTCCTCCTATCTTTCAGTCGACCGGATGGGGGGGGGGGGGGGGGGTTACGCCCCCCCATGCACGGCTCCCCCCTGAATCCGTCTATGGTGAACTTAGGCTCCTCTACCAGGAATCGATTCATTTCAGTTGTGTGTTGTTAATGCGAAAAGAAACGAAATTTTGAACTCATGGAACAACTCAATGGGATTCGGCAACGCCGAAATCATAAGGAGTTCCTGTGCATGAGACTATGTAAATAAATCGTCGACCCGAAGCACATGAGCGTCCCGGCTCCCGGGAACTTATCTCGGCGCCAAGGAATAATTAACAGAAGTATAATCCCGATAACTGTCAACTTCTTCATTTCGCCGAGCGTATTACCGTATGGGTGCTCCTCAACGCGGCGATACTTTCGTCCCCCATTTTCTCCGTCTCACCTCGTTCCCCTCGGCTGTCCTGCAAGTTCGCCGATGCTTCGGATCGATTTTTTAATTATCCCCAGACGTGTTTCGTGTTTGCCGGGTTTCAAAACCGTGCGAGCTGCCCGGCCGGCAGCCTCCCGCTGGGTCGATGAGGTAGCTAACTTGCAAAACTGCGTAAGAGGGAAAACTGGGTTGGAGACAAGTTGTCGAGCAGCCTTCCTTAAATCTGTTGGCAAGTTGTAGTGGTGTGGCGTGCTCTGCGATATATCGATTGATCTGTCATTCAAACTTATGGAAAAGGATCGATTAACAGGGTGTTCGCAGCGCACGCCTTAATAATCGATTCTTTACCATAGCTTCAAATGGAGCAATATCGATATTCGATCATTCATGCCAGGCCACTGCAGAACATTAGATCCACGCTCGTCATCGAATTTTTCGCTCATACTCGACCGTTGCAATCAAATTCTGAAATGCCTCCAGAAGAATTTCCCAAATTCGAAATCGCTTCACAAGTTCTTATCTAACCATACACGCAAACCATTTGGAAATTTATGTATCATTGTATTTTTTTTCTTTGACAATATATGTTATCTCAGGGAATGTACGCTTTGGGCAAATAGGGATGAGAAAACTAGAGGGGCATAATTCCTGCCTCAGTTTTGGATTGGGTACCCCTTGATACAAGGCGGTAGGGACTTTTCATGAAGGGATAGTGGGAGGGCGTCGATTAAGAGATTTTCCCGGGGGCAAGAGCGTNGGGGGGGGGGGGCAGGGAGCTTGCGTCCGCAAGTAAAAATAAATAGGAGGAAGAAAGAAGGGAGGGATGGTGGAAGAAAAAAGAAGGAATCACGCTTATTTTTGATAATTCCAGACGAAATCGACTCAAACTGCATACCAGATGATGTAAAATTTCGAAAATTCTCCGGGGGAAGAAGCCACAAGAAGCCCACTCCGCCTCCCCCGCTCCC